TACAATTGTGTTTATAGTTTATGATATCTTTAACGTTCTATATAGGAAATATTCTAGATAGTAATGTATAATTAATATATAAATATAATATATATATTCAACAAATATTGGAAAAGAAAGTGCAAGATGGGGTAGTTGGCCTGCATGCCGTGTGGACTCAATAAGGATGGAAGCAGGGTGCATGTATGACTGTGTGAAATGTAACAGTGACGCAGGCTGGTAGGCATTATTCTACATGTCACCTGAACAGGGACATTAACAACAGATAACAGAACTGTATGATCAAGCAAACCATCTATTCATCTGACTTTCTTAAAAGATCAAATAAAAAAAAGAAGTTGGGGGTTGGCAACTTGCTTTGGTTCTATGGGTTAAGTTGACCAAATCAATCCAGTAAAATATGAAACAAAATACTTAAGCTATAAAAGAAGATAGTGACAACCTTATTCTTGTATAGTATGGTGTTTGGAGCTACCTTCCCATAAACACAGAAAACAAAAAAAGAGGATATTGTCAGTGGCAGAGTAATAAGTAAATAGATAGGGGAAGGGTTGGCAATCAGTATGGGTTAGAGGGTAAGGTTGCAGATCTGGAAGGGTGAGGGGGGGTGTGGTTGGCTATCTGGATGGGTCAGGGGGTAGCGTTGGCTATCTGGATGGATGAGGAGGTAGGGTTGGTGATCTGAAGAAGTGAGGAGGTAGGGTAGACAATTGTTATGGATGAGGAGGTAGGGTTGACAATTGGGATGGGTGAGGTGGTAGGACTGGAGATCAATATGGGTTAGGGGATGAGGTTGCAGATCTGGATGGGTGAGCTATCTGGATGGATGAGGGGGTATGATTGGCGATCTAGATGGCCCAGGGGGTAGGATTGGTGATCAGGATGGGTGAAGTGGTAGGGTTGGCGATCTGGATTGGTGAAGCAGTAGGGTTGGTGATCTGGATAGGTAAAGGGTTGGGGTTGGTGATCTTGATGGGTAAGGGGGTGGGGTTGGCGATCTGGATGGGTGAGAGAGTAGGGCTGGCAATCTGAATAGGTAAAGGGGTAGGAATGGTGATTTGGAAAGGTGAGGGGGTAGGGTTGGTGATATGGATGGGTGAAAGTGTAGGGTTGGTGATCTGGATGGGTGAGGAGGGGGGTGTGGTTGGCTATCTGGATGGATGAGGGGGTGGGGTTGGTGATCTGGATGGGTCAGGGGGTAGCGTTGGCTATCTGGATGGATGAGGAGGTAGGGTTGGTGATCTGAAGAAGTGAGGAGGTAGGGTAGACAATTGTTATGGATGAGGAGGTAGGGTTGACAATTGGGATGGGTGAGGTGGTAGGACTGGAGATCAATATGGGTTAGGGGATGAGGTTGCAGATCTGGATGGGTGAGGGGGCATGGGTGGCTATCTGGATGGATGAGGGGGTGGGATTGGCGATCTAGATGGCCCAGGGGGTAGGATTGGTGATCAGGATGGGTGAAGTGGTAGGGTTGGCGATCTGGATTGGTGAAGCAGTAGGGTTGGTGATCTGGATAGGTAAAGGGTTGGGGTTGGTGATCTTGATGGGTAAGGGGGTGGGGTTGGCGATCTGGATGGGTGAGAGAGTAGGGCTGGCAATCTGAATAGGTAAAGGGGTAGGAATGGTGATTTGGAAAGGTGAGGGGGTAGGGTTGGTGATATGGATGGGTGAAAGTGTAGGGTTGGTGATCTGGATGGGTTAGGAGGTAGGGTTAATGATCGGGATGGGTGAGGTGGTGGGGTTTGTGATCTGGATAGGTAAGGGGGTGAGGTTAGCAATCTGGATTAGTGAGAGAGTAAGGCTGGCAATTTGGATCGGTGGGGAGGTAGTATTGGTGATTTGGAAGGGTGAGGGGGTAGGATTGGTGCTTTGGAAGGGTAAGGGGGTAAGGTTGGTAATATGGATGGGTGAAGGGGTAGGGTTGGTGATCTGGATAGGTGAGGAGGTAGGGTTGATGATCGGGATGGGTGAGATTGTAGGGTTGGTGATCTGGATAGGTAAAGGGGTGGGGTTGGTGATCTATATGGGTAACGGGGTGGGGTTGGCAATCTGGATTGGTAAAAGAGTAGGGCTGGCAATTTGGGTCGATGAGGGGGTAGGATTGGTGATTTGGAAGGGTGAGGAGGGAAGGTTTTTGATATGGATGGGTGAAAGGGTAGGGTTGGCTATCTGGATGTGTGAGGGGCTAGGGATGGGCTAGGGTTGATGATCAGGATAGGTGAGAGGCTAGGGTTGGCAATCTAGATGTGTGAGGGGCTAGGGTTGGTGATCTGGATAGGTGAGGAGGTAGGCTTGGCAATCTGAATGGGTGAGGAGGTAGGGCGCATGAATGGGATAGATGAGAGGGAGGAATTGGCAGTCTGGATTGGTGAGGGGGTAGGGTTGGCAATCTGGATTGGTGAGAGAGTTGGGCTGGCAATTTGGGTCGATGAGGGGGTAGGATTGGTGATTTGGAAGGGTGAGGAGGGAAGGTTTTTGATATGGATGGGTGAAAGGGTAGGGTTGGCTATCTGGATGTGTGAGGGGCTAGGGTTGATGATCAGGATAGGTGAGAGGCTAGGGTTGGCAATCTAGATGTGTGAGGGGCTAGGGTTGGTGATCTGGATAGGTGAGGAGGTAGGCTTGGCAATCTGAATGGGTGAGGAGGTAGGACGCATGAATGGGATAGGTGAGAGAGAGGAATTGGCAGTCTGGATTGGTGAGTGGGTAGGGTTGGCGATGGGCATGGGCGAGGGCGTAAGTGATGTTGAGAGTTCTGCTGCTACTCACCCTTAAATATTTTCTGAGAGCTGAATAAATGACAGGGGTTCTAGATGCTTAGGAGAACAAGCAATAAAAGAGGGGGGCAGGCTGATACCCAGCCTTGTCCATGTCACTGAAATGAGTGGGTGAGAGAAGAAAAACAGATGATGATGATGACAGCCAGCCTGGTACTCCCAACCTTTGACACCCATGTACAATGAAGACAAGAAGCCGGTTACATTGAAAAGAGATGGTACAGCACTATTCATCTGTATTCATGCGTGGGACAGATACAATGTTTGAGAGGTAGAGGTAGGTGAGCCAGGTTCACCGATCAAGTGTGAGAAGGAAGAAAAGGTTTTTTAGTGCTCACCCTTGTGCATGCCCGTGTATCGGTCCTTGAGCACGGTGAGCTCATAGATCTTGCCGAACTGCTCGAAGAGAGGCTTCAGGTCTTTCTCCTCCAGGTTACGAGGGATCTGCCCCACGAACAATTTGATGGCGTCCAGGTCCTTCATGCTGTCTGATTGCTGAGCAGGGGGCTCGGGGCCGCTCATGGGGCAGGCTCGGGGCTGCTGCTGCGGGGGATGCTGCTGCTGTTGCCTCCTCGCCTCTCTCTCCGTCAGTCTGGCCATCTCCAGCCCCTCGGTAGGCTGGATCAATCACACAGGCAGAGCTCTCAGCTGGAAACTGAGCCCCGGCAGCAGCATCAGCACCGCTCAGCGCTGCTCGCTGGCGAACCCTGCTGGCCGCTCTCGGGTATGGCACCTGAAAAGGGGTGTGTGTCTGTGAGTGGGAGGGGAACAATGGGAGACGCCGATCCCTACCGAGACATCGGAAATGGATCCACATTCCACACCGGGAGTACATGGATAGTACCAGAGTGACTGCACCTGGAAACTACATAGGACTACCAGGGCGACCAGATCGTTTTATTCTTAATGATATAAGTGAACGTGTGACTACAGGACATGGTGTTATGGCCGTATTACAAAGCCTTGTGGCAAATTCACAAAAACGCTATGGCTGAGACAAAAAAACACTGCCCTTGTAGTGGGGCTGCCCCTGCACTGCAAGGGTTAACTGCTGGTATGGGACCTGTTTTAAAGTGATATTAAAGTCAAAAGGTTTTTAAGCTAAGGTTACCATTAGTCCCCGTTTCCCGGGACAGTCCCTGTTTTTCAGAGGTCTGTCCCTGGGAAACAAACGTCCCCGGTAGCAGTGAACTGCAGTCATATAAAGCCAGTTGTGTACATGTAGTCTAGGACTCTGCGTCACTTACTATTGACCCCAGAACCCAGGGGCGTATCTGCCGCGAGGCAAACAAGGCGTTTGCCTCGGGCGGCAGATTCCGTCCGGGCGGCGAATGCACCGGCCCGCGTGTCGGGCACCAAGGATGAGGAGGCCGTGTTCCAAAGAGGTCAGGCCGTGCAAGGTAAGAGGACTGTGCTGGCAGAGCCCAGCATAGATTCTGCACAGCCCACTAAAGAGTCTCAGGTGTGCTGTGCAATACTCAGTCTGCAAAGCCCAGCACAGATCCTGCAAAACCCCCCTGAGATGCTGCAGGATCTGTGGGGGGCTTTGTCGGGTCTCAGGGGGCTTTGCAGGATCTGTGGGGGGGCTTTGTCAGGTCTCAGGAGGGATTTGCAGGATTCAAAGGGGGCTCTGCAGCCTGCAAAGCCCACCACAGATCCTGCAGAGCCCCCCTGAGATCCTGCAGGGTCTCAGCAGGATCGGTGGGGGGCTTTGCTGGGTCCCAAGGGGGCTTTGCAGGATCTGGGGTGAGCTCTGTGAGGTCTATGGTGGACTGCAGGGTCTCAGGGGGGCTGTGCAGGATCTGTGAAGGGCTCAGCCGGGTCTCAGGGGGGCTTTGCAGGATCTGAGGCGGGCTCTGCGGGGTCTATGGCGGGCTTAGCAGCCTGAGAGCCAGCAGAGCCCACCAAAGATCCTGTAGAGACCACCACAGATCCTGTAGAGACCACCGCAGAGCCCACCTGAGACCACAGCCAGGTGGGGTAAATTTAGTGTATGGGGGGGGGGGGACGCCCGAGTTTTGTCTTGCCTAGGGCATCCCCAAACCTAAATACACCACTGCCTGAACCCTGCATCACTTACTACTGATTCCTGCGTTACTTATTACTGACCCCTATGTTACATTCCTGCTCTGAACTCTGCATTACTTGCTACTGTTCCCTATGCATGACCCTTGTACGCCATGTGTTACCTACTGATGACCCCTGTACGCCACGGGCTACCTACTGATGACCCCTGTACACCATGTGTTACCTACTGATGATCCCTGTACTCCATGTGTTACCTACTGATTACCCCTGGACTCCATGTGTTACCCACTGATGTCCTCTGTACTGCATGCATTACCTACTAATGACCCCTGTACTCCATGTGTTACCCTCTGAGGCACTGGCGGAACTACCAGGGTCGCAGCCGTCGCATATGCTACCGGACCCTGGCGTTCCGCCACTTTGGGGGGGCTCGGAAAGGCAGAAGAGGGCCCAGTGCCGACATTACAGAAAAAGGAGAAGGTCCGCTTGACTGACATTCTGAGCAGCCAGTGACATTTCCCCATTACCCGACTCAGAACGCTAAGAGTGAGGCGGGAGAAGGGTGTGGGCGTGGCAGTGATGTGGTAGGAGTGAGCGAGCTGCCGATGTACTGGGCGGGGTTTTAAGAGATTGTGGGGCTGCCCTAGGCTGCAGTCAATAGTAGTACCCACTTGTCTGCATGTCGGGAAATTTGAATGGTGAGAGCAGCATGGAGCGGAGGAGGATTCTTCTAAGGTTCTCTCATAGACAGGGCCACGGGGCTGTTTGCCCGCTATGCGCTCTGACACGTGGCAAAATATTGCCTGCGTTCCGGGAAAAAAAATACTGCATGCTACTGAATGAAGGGGTAAGTTTAGTGTGCGATTGCTGTGCGTTCCAGCAGCTACAGCTCTGGAGTGCACCGCAAATGGTGTGAACAAGCCCTCATACATATCAGTGGCAGAACTACCAGGGTCGCATGTGCGACTGGGCCCTGGTGTTCAGCCAGGGCCCAGAAAGGAAGAAGAAGGCCCGTCCCTAGTAACCGCTCAGGTGTCGACTTTGTCTCCCGGGGGGGCCCTTCATAGTTTCTTGCATCGGGGCTCTGAGTTTTCTAGCTACGCCTTTGCTCTGATGCCCTCTGTACTCCATGCATTACCTACTAATGACCCCTGTAATGATTATACAGCAATGCAGAATAGCACCAACTATGCAGGACTACAAGTCCCAGCAATGCATTATATTTCTAAGTAGGGATGCACAAGTGCCAATACTGGGCATTTTCACGAGTACTCCTACTTGTAAAAATGCCCCGATACTAAACACAGATAGCGGAGTTCTGTCGAGAACGCTGACGTAGTCGAATTGGCCGACCTCAGCATCTGCGCTTGCGCACAGACCAGTGTTATTGAGGGAACCGGGAATTATTCACAAAGTATTTAGCTTAAATTGTTAATTGTGACCGTTAATAATATTCCATCCACCATTTACTGCCATCCATCATTTACTGCCATGGATGGCCTATTATGAAATGTCACAATTACAAACAAATACTTTGTAAATAAATGCCGATTTCCTCGTTAATCCCGTCTGTGCGCAAACGCAGATACTGGGTTGGCATTCTCCATAGAACACCGATTGCTGGGGACCTCGGCAGCCGTCCTGTTAACCACACAGTTCCATGGCGGCGGGGGGGTAAGGGGAGGGGCCTTCATAGTTTCTTGCACCGGGGGCCCTGAAGGTTCTAGTTACACCTCTGCCCTCACATATTATGTAGGGCTATTGGCCTGCATATTCAAAGTAATCATGGTGAGGAGAGGTGCTTTGGATGCTTGAATTGTGCCTACAGGATCCAGTGATGGAAATCCTGCCCTGATTTATGTCTTTCTTAAACTGGTTCTAAAAAAAGAAGCATGTTGCTGTAAGATAATTTTTCAGGATGGGTATGGAAATTCTACCTCATTATACTTGGACCCCAAATAAAATGGCTTTACAGACTGTGCCAATACAGTCTCTAAATTAACTCCAGACCAAACAAAAACTTTAGAAATGTTTAGTAATGACAATCTACAAATATTCTTCTAGATAATTGCGGACTTTATTCTTTGCATACCTTATTTTTCTTTTCCTCCCCATTCTTTTCACAGTGGCCATTTTTACTAAGGGCAGATTAGTACTTTTCCGTTTACTTCCTGCAACTATGACCCATGTGACTAGGGCATGTGATCATGCACATCATCTCGGAGGTGAAAAAATGCCTTTCGCTGAGATCTCATGAGATTATACAATATACAGATGAGATTATCCAGCAAGCACTGTGATGTAACCTTCCCAGGATGCATCTCTTCGGCACAGGCTACATCACTAGGCCTTAGAGGACCAGGAAGTGGAAACATAGTAATTGTAAGTAAAAGAAAAATATGTTTGTTTAACTAATGATTGTAAGATGATTTCATATAAGCATGCAAAGGTGCATGCTGATGTGATTTTTAGTGAAAGGGGGTAAAGGTCCACTTTAATCTCAGGGGAGCATTGTTGGGCTCACATATCCAGGGAAAGTAAATGTTTCACAAAGCAGACATAGGTAGGATTGACAGTATTGTTATTTGGCCTGTAGTTCCTGAGTGCTCCAGGAGATAAGGCGTGCATGCTTCATACACATACCCCTCACTCTCATGGGCTCACCATGAACTCTCACTCTTATATGTTCTTTTTTTATGGTGACATTAATAATTTGAGGATTGCACAAACTGCGATCCTCAAATTCCCCAGCAAACTGCTGGGGAACTTGCACTTCATTTTATCATAAACAGTTTAATATCTAAAAGGGGAGCAGAGCATGGTAATGTGTCTGCGAGTCTAAACCAGGCCACACACCCTGGGGAGCTATATGTTGTAACATTTTAATGCCCTTACAAGCCCAAATCTAATGGATCAGGATAGAGAGAAAATGAGTCTAAATTGTCCCAAAGGAGCAATAACAGAGATCACTGGTGTGGTTTCAAAAAGCTTTTTCTCACCATGTTCCAGATTTTAAGTGTCACTTTCATAATTACAGTATAACTACTATGGTAGTATATCAGGGGCCTCTAAAAGGTACATTGTTCAGAGCTACACAAAAATAAAAAACCAATAGCGCCAGAGATTTCCACTCCACTGAAGAGACATACATGCAGAAGTTCTGCAGGTCGCTGCCCCACATCAGTCAGGGAGACTGTGATATCTAAGAAAAAAACAAAAACAAGGCGCCATCCCTAGTGTAGATACATTTTTATTAGACAAGCGGCAAAAGTAGAATAATACTCACAAAAGTGTAGATGACAATGAGCCTTCAAAATCAAAGGTTGATCCTCATTTTAGCAAAAAGCAAAACACAGCATATGAGAGCTGCACAGATGGTAGTTCCTGTGTGCCAACACAGTATGACTAGGTTGATGCGTTTCCGGGGCCACGCCCCCTTCCTCAGAACCTAACCTCCTCCTCCTTCACATTGAATTAAGTAGAGGCTAACAGCCAATCAGTAGCGGTTAAATCCCTTTGAAATAATACCAATATAGTCATTAAACAGGCTGACAAGGGAGGTGGTCTGGTCATTCAAGACAAAAAAGACTACATTGGGGAAGCCTCCAGGTTGCTGTCAGATACTTCTACCTATGAGAAACTCAAAGGTGATACCAATAGAGAATACAAAATACAATTTGA